CAATCAAAAGATTTTGAAAAAGGTAACTACAAGTGTACTCAGTGTAATAAGGATGGACACACCAAGGAACGATGCTATGAAATCATAGGATACCCCGAGTGGTGGGATCACAGTCGAGCATCGAAGAAGAATTTCAAAAATAAATTCAACTGCTGCTACTGTAACTGCCATTGACAAAGAGGACGACAAAGGTATGATGTTTGCTACAATCGCAGGTAGTGATGATTCTAATGGTAAGGCTTTAATAAACATATTTACCATTCTGAATAATGCATGGATAATTGACTCTGCATGTTCTGATCATGTGACTTTTGATGTTAGACAAATTAAAAATCTTAAACTTTCCTCACAAAAAAGTATATCCACAACCAATGGTAGTAAATCCACTATTATTGGAGAAGAACTGTCTCTATTTCAAACAATTTGAATCTTGATACTGTCCTTGTTGTTCCTTCTCTTAAATATAACCTATTGTCAGTCTCGCAAATAACCAAAGCTCTTTTATGTGTTGTAATTTTTGGGCCTGACTCTTGTGTTTTTAAGGATATTCAAACGAGGAAGACGATTGGTTGTGGTATTAGGCGAGGAAGGTTATATTACCTGGACCTGACAGAAAAAGATTCAAAGAGACTTGGTCAAGTGCTAGCAACAAGAGGGTCTCAAGAAGTAAGAAAAAGCGAGGATATCTAGTTATGGCATAAGCGTCTAGGACATGCATCTTTTGGTTACATAAAGAAATTATTTCCAAATGTATTTGACCAAGTAGACACTTCAACTTTTTATTGTGATGTTTGTGAGCGTGCAAAGAGTCATAGAACACATTTTTTTTAATTTTAAATAAAAGTTCTATTCCTTTTATGATCATTCACTCTGATGTATGGGGTCCATCTAAGGTTACAACGTTGGGTGACTCAAAGTGATTTGTAACGTTTATTGATGATTGTACTCAAATGACTTGGTTATGTTTGATGAAGTCTAAAAGTGAAGTTGGAGGACTATTTCAGAAATTCTGCAAAATGATTGAGACCCAATACAAAGCACAAATTCAGGTACTGCGCAGTGACAACGGAGGAGAATATATGCAATCATAACTTCAACATTTTTTAGTAGCCAAAGGAATTGTTCATCAAAGATCTTGTCCAAGTACTCCACAACAGAATGGGGTGGCGAAAGAACCGTCATTTATTGGAGGTGGTCCGAGTTGCACTAATTGGAGCTCACATGCCAGCAATATATTGGGGAGAAGCTCTCACATATGCAGTATACACTATCAACTGAACACTGTCCAGGTCTCTTGAGTATAAAACACCTCTTCAATCACTTATAGATGCAGTAATAAGTCCTAAAATTGCTGAACTAACACATAGAGTTTTTGGTTGTGTTGCTTATGTTCACTTATCCAAGCATTAGAGAAGTAAGTTGTCTCCTAGAGCTGAAAGGTGTGTGTTCCTTGGCTATGCGAATCACCAGAAAGGATATCGGTGCTACAATCCACAAACCAAGCAAATGTTTACTACTATAAATGTAATTTTTCATGAAACCTTGATATATTTTTCCCCTGAGTTTGAAATTCAGGGGGAGAATTATGATGAAATTCAGAGTTTTGTTCCCCAAGAAATTGATATTGAGATCAGATTTGAGAAAGAAAGTTACAAAGTTGTATCAAGAGATGATGAAAGTATGCAACAATGTTATGCTCAACAACCACATAATGAGGAAAACTTGGAGCATGTTGAGATCGAAAATTTGCATGTTGATGCTAATGATATACCACACCAATCGTCCTCTCAAGAACCTAATATAGAAAAAAGAATTCTGCCAGATCGTGTTACTAGAGGTATCCCTAAGCTTACTTATGATCCTGACCTCACCAGTAAGACAAGATACCTTATGAGTAATTATGTTTGTAACTAGAATTTGTCTAACTCAAATATCACATTTATAAGTCAATTATCTACGGTATTTATTCCTAACAGTGTGCAGGAAGCTTTAGCTGACTCCAGGTGGAAGGATGCTATGAATGAGGAGATGAGATCCTTGCAAAGAAATAAAAGATGGGAATTAGTAGATTGTCCAGTTGGAAAGAAACCAGTAGAATGCCGATGGGTGTATATTGTGAAATTTAATGCAGATGGCACAATTGAGAGATTCAAAGCTAGATTGGTGGCAAAGGGGTACACACAAGTATATGGAATAGATTACACTGAAACATTTGTTCCCGTAGCCAAAATTAGTACAGTTCGAGTATTGTTATCTCTAGCTGTAAACCTTAATTGGTCCTTACAACAATTTGACGTAAAAAATGCCTTCTTACACGAGAAATTGTCTGAAGAAGTTTATATGGAGCTACCAGAAGGATGTAGGATCCCAAATACACATAGCAAGAATGTATGCAAGTTGAAGAAGTCATTGTATGGTCTAAAACAATCGCCACGAGCATGGTTTGGTAGATTCACCAAGTCAATGCTTGTTTTTGGATACCAACAGAGCAACCAAGATCATACCTTGTTTCTAAAGAAAAAGGAAGAAAAGATTACAATTCTTATTGTCTATGTTGATGACATGATAGTTACGGGAAACGATCTAGAGGAACGCAAGGCATTGAAAGAGTACTTGGCAAAGGAATTCGAGATGAAAGATCTTGGTCCTTTGAAATATTTTCTTGGAATTGAGGTCTCAAGATCAAAGTCAGGTATTTTTCTCTCACAACGAAAGTATGCATTGAATTTACTAAAAGAAACTGGAATGACATCATGCAAACCAACAAATTCTCCAATTGAAGAGGGATTGAAGCTGTGCATTGAAGAAGATCAACCTCCAACTAACAAGGGAAGATATCAGAGACTTGTAGGGAGATTAATGTATCTCTCACACACTAGGCCAAATTTAGCTTATGCTCTTAGTGTGGTTAGCTAGTTCATGCACAATCCAGGTAAAAAACACATGAATGCTGTTATACGGATTTTAAGGTATATAAAAGCTGCTCCTGGAAAAGGAGTTATGTTCAAGAAGAACTCCAACTACAAGGATGTGATGGTTTATACTGATGCAGATTGGGCAGGTGCTCTTGATGATAGAAGATCAACCTCTGGATACTTTACATTTGTAAGAGGTAATCTTGTCACATGGAAAAACAAGAAGCAGAAAGTTATATCTAGATCTAGTGCAGAAGCTGAACTTAGAGGAATGGTTCTTAGACTTTGTGAAGGTTTGTGGCTCAGACTACTTCTCCAAGATTTAGGGTATGCACATACACGTCTCATTCAGTTGTATTGTGATAATAAAGTTACGTGCGACATTGCTCACAATCCTGTCCAACATGATCAGATGAAGCATGTGGAGGCTGATAGATTTTTCATCAAGGAAAAGCTTGATAAAAATATTTTGGAATTGTCAAATATTCGATCTGAAGATCAGTTGGCAGACATTCTTACCAAAGCTGTGACAAGTCAGATTTTTAGGAGATTATTGGATAAGTTGGGAATGTATGATATCCATTTACCAACTTAAGGGGGAGTGTTGGGATAAAGATATTTGATTAGCTAAATTATAGGTTTGTATAGTGGTACAAAATATTGTATAATCAGAGCTTCCTATATTTAGTCTTGATTTGTTAGAGTAAAATACTATAAGATCATAGTATATGTGTACAAAAATAATATGAATAAAATATATAATGAGTTCTATGTTTTTCAATTATCACTTCATATGTCTAATTCTGAATATAACGTTGTTTAAAGTTTGATTTTATAAATACAAATATTATTTTTTATTATTTTAACAAATTTATTAATTTTAAATATTATTTTTATCATTTAGTATTCTTTATTTAAATCACTTATAATAATTTGTTATATTTTTTCTGTGTAATAAATATAATGAAAATATAATAATATAATTGATAAAAAAAATAATTAATATCATTTTAACCTTTACAAATAATAATTAATTTTTTTCTAAAATTATACAATTAAAAAGAAATATAAGAAGTAATTTAAAAGGCTAAATAGAATCGTGTGTATTGATTGAATAGGAGCCAACTTATTTGTTTATTATTTCTGTTCTTCTTAATTTTTCTAACTAATTCAAACGTAAAATTTGCTCAAAATATATAAAAGTTAACTAATAAGTATTACAAGGATTTATTTATTTATTTTATTCATTTAAGCAGAAAAAACTATGCAGTACTTGATTTAAAAAAAAAGGTAAAATAACATAATAAGGTATTAGTAATTATATTTGAAAACGAGAAAATGTAATATAAAAAAAAACTTAAAATAATGAACATAGTTCATATTTAATATATATATATTAAAATTATGAACTATTTTATGTTAAATTTTATATAAATTTTAAAAAGTTAATAACTATAAATTTTTTATGTAAAATAATTTTCTGACTAACCTTTGGAGAAAGAGATTCAAACAAATTTTTCTTCAATTTACAATAATTAAATACATTAGTTTTTAAATTTGAAAATAAAAAGTTTTAAAAAACTATAAAAATGTATAGTCTTTTAAAGTAATAGACATGATATGTAAAATAAAATAAGAATGATGTTCAACACATCACATTAGCGATATTATTAAAAGCTAAAATAATGTCATGTTACGCAACATTAACTTAGCAGTGAAATTTGACATAATGTAGACATTATTATTATTTTTTTAATAGTACATTCATAGTTTTAAGGTTTGAGCATTGATAAAAAATATGGATTATGGATGAGATCAATAAACAAGGTCAGATTCTAACTTTCATAAGCATTTGGTATCTTCGGTATCTTTTTTATTAGTAGTGTCCCTCACGCGCTTGAAGCCAAACGTGGTGGTCAGCAAATTGTAAATGGACACCCAATAACAAAATTTGAACCAGAGAAATTTTTTTTTGAAAAATTTAATAAAAACCCAACACACTTAACACAACATAGACACTGCCACAAAGAGCCAGATATCAGCAATTGTACCTTTAGAGTGTGTGAAGAAGGAAGAGTATCATCCATGGCGGCTACAAGAGCGATAACCATAGCGAGCAACTCGACATGCACACTACTTAGAAAGAAACCCTTCGTGGGTGGCACTGCCCTTTCCCTCAACAACCTCAATTTTTGTCGAACTAAGAGGTCTTATACCTGCCGGGCCATCTACAATCCTCAGGTTGTCGTCAAGGAAGAAGGCCAGCCCGAAACCCTCGACTATAGAGTTTTCTTTGTTGATAAATCTGGCAAGAAGGTACTTTTTTATTGGGTCAGTTTTGTTTTTATATCATGTTATTGAATGGGAATTGATATTTTTTGTTTGTGGGCTTTGCTTTCAACTAGAATAATGCGATGTCGGGTGTCCAAAGTTTCTTGTTTTTTGCATCTTTGTAGTGAAATGATGATGATGATGATGTGTGGTCTGGGTATTTGATTAATTGAATTGCAATGATTTTCAGTTTCTCTGTGTTTGCTTGTTATTTGTGTGATGGAAGTGTTAGAGGTAAGAAGGGTACTGTCTGGTTTAAAAGTGGTCTTTCCTTTTATGGACCAATAACTTGCTAATTTGTTAAGGATAGTGTTTGTTCGGGCCGATGCAAAATAATTTTGAATATTTCTTGTACTTCACTAGCTAATTGAGATATTCTGTTTGACCCCTATGTGTATGTGTTTCCTTATTGTTATACATTTCCTCTGCTATGAAAGGAATAGGGCAGGTGCCAAGTTACAATGTTTTCTGGGTAGTCATCATGGTTTATATTTGCTTATTATGTTGGAAGCTAATTGCCGTATAGTTATGTAATATATAATGAGATATTGCCCTTTTCAACTAGGAAAAATGGAATTAATGTTCAACGAATGAGTGTCCTGCTATGTGGACTACCTGCAAGTCTATGACCCTGTTACTTGTACCTAAAATGTAATTTGTAAAATATGTAGGTTTCTCCTTGGCATGATATTCCATTGCGATTAGGTGAGGATATTTTCAACTTCATTGTTGAGATTCCTAAAGAATCCAGTGCAAAGATGGAGGTTGCCACCGATGAGGCTTTCACTCCCATAAAACAGGATACAAAAAAGGGAAAGCTCAGATATTATCCGTGAGATACAATTTCTAAGCTCATACTGTTACTTTTTATTCTCAATTACATTATTTGTCTTTGGCTGTTCACTTTTAATGTAAAACTATATTTTACATTATATTTATTGATGGTACATTGTTGTCTATCCATATAAACGTGCTGTGGTATTCTTCTTCATTGTTGTTTATTTACGACCAAAAATCTACTTGGGAGATTCAATACCCATTGCTGGCCTTGATAATCACCCTTCCTTCCTAGATGCCATCTTCATGTTATTTTACCTTTAACAATTGAGCATTTTGCACGTTTCATTCATCCCTTCTTTGGTTTCATTTTCTGTGCTTGTTTGATCTAGCTAAATTGATTTGATTCGATTTGGTCTATTCTGAAACACATTTTATACATGTTCTCCAGCTATAATATTCATTGGAACTATGGCTTACTTCCACAAACGTGGGAAGATCCATCTTTTGCAAACTCAGAAATTGAAGGAGCATTGGGAGATAATGATCCAGGTATTCCATTAATAACGATTGTAGACACCCATCTTTGCCATAATGTTATATTATGAATGCAACATACATCACTGAAATAATTATAAATCTGCAGTTGATGTGGTCGAGATTGGTGAAAGACAGAGGAAAATAGGTGAGGTTCTCAAGGTCAAACCCTTGGGCGCATTAGCCATGATTGACGAAGGTGAACTTGATTGGAAAATAGTTGCAATTTCATTAGATGATCCAAAGGCATCATTGGTGAATGATGTTAATGACGTTGAGAAGCATTTTCCAGTAATCTCTCAATCTCTTATCTAGCTGATAATTTATTTCACATGTCTGTTCTTGTTCATTTATTAGTTTGTGATTATACTGAGCAGCTGGGTGATTTTTTAACTGTTTGATCGAAACTACCTACATAAGGAAGTCAGCATATGTACTGTTACTACATATTGACTAAAAAGACTGCCGAGTCAACATAAATAAGACTGGTTTACAGTAGATCGTAGGGATTTCCAGCTTAAGTGCTTATACTATGAGAAAATAAATCCAAATAAGTTTCGTAAAAGTTCTTTTGGGCACCCCCCTTGATCTGATTAGGAGCACTAGATATTATGCGTTTCTCTCGAGTGATCTATGTTGAAGCTGCTTTCATTAAGATGCTAATTTTGTGCGAGATGCTCAATTGGTGTCATGGTCAGTAACTTTTGTTTGTTTCATAATCTTTTGTTTTCTTCAGGGAACTCTAACTGCAATTAGGGACTGGTTCAGAGACTACAAGATACCTGATGGAAAGCCTGCTAATAAGTTTGGGCTTGGCAACCAAGCAGCTAATAAGGTATTTTAACTGATGAATCTCTCGAATAAAGTATTCCAAGGAATTCCTTACTCTGTATTTCTTGAAAGAGATTACCACTTAACCTGTTCTTTAAATGGTTTGTTGGTTGTTGTTATGGTTACTGATACAGTGTCCTTCTGGCTGCATTTTTTCTGTAAAAAGTTGGTTGCCTTGATATTTGTATAAGAGGGTGTTTTAAGAAACAAGTGATATAATATATTCTCCTTTATGTATGATTACAAATTAGATTCCTGAACTTAAACTAATAATGAAAAGGGTAAAAACAAAGGAATTAATCTTCTGCAGTCTGTTATTATTATTCCTGGTCTCAATTTGTCTCGACTGATTCTTAACTCTCAAAACTTATATTTGCTTAACAGGAATATGCGCTCAAGGTCATCACAGAGACCAATGAATCCTGGAATAAACTTATTAAGAGATCAATTCCTGCAGGAGAGTTGTCACTTGCGTAGAGAAGTATTGGGGGAGGGTCTGTTGTTCATGCCATTGCTTGCCTTTCCACAGTTCTGTTTATGAAGTAGCAATTTCTTTTGTTGAGCTTTCCGGTTATATATATATATATATATATATATTCGACTATGCCCATTTGGCCAAGCGTTAGTTCAATAAATCAATCTTGCTTGTGTATTGTACATTTTTTTCATATTCTACATTCTCGAATTGGACTGGAAATAGATTTGTAGTTAACTCTTGCAGAATCCAAACGACATTAAAAGCTATTGAAATCTTTGATTTTGGGAATAAGGTAGAAAATTAATTGAGTGATAAAACTTAAACCAGATATAAATAATGGATTGCTGATTAATCTCATTCAGTTTTCTTTCTGGATGAATCTGTTGGTTCAGAATGGCAACCTCCTCTCCTATCAGGAACTGCTTAGTTTAACAAACGACCTGAATGGTCAAAACGTTCAGATTTTATTTTCAAATGACAAGAGACCAAATATAAATTGTTATGGTTTAGCAAAGAGCCTAGAAAGATAGCCGCTCGCAATTTTATTAAGAAAAAATTACAAGGATCGTTATGCACAAGGTGAAGCATAAGACTGAACATACTATTTCTAAATAATTTTCATCAACCAAGATCAAATGCAGACTTAAATACACCACCATAGTGGCTACCATTGTGCGAAAATACTTTGTGCTTGGACAAGCATAAAAAATTCAATGTTCTGGGGACTGAGAAGGAGACGCTGATGTTGCTCCAGTCTTCTCTTGAAGCAACGGCATTGTGTTTGACCTTTCAACGCTTGGTACTTGATGTTCACTTTCTTCATCAAATCTATCCACACTATGCAAAAATATTCCTGACATAATATGCATCAATCAGAACACAAGTTCAAAAACCTTTGGAAATTGAGGATTAGACATTTATGATTTGATAACGATTATAGAAATTTCAATAGTTCATCTTGACTTTTAGATAATAGACAGGTTAATTTTTATGTGGCAAGTAACATGCATAACAGGTATAATCTAAAGGTTATAATATGCTTTTATTTTTACCCAAGTTGGGTTGGAAATAATTTCAAGAGTGAATTATTTTTGTCATGTCCAGTAGTGCCATTGGTAAATATTAAACATCCTAGTTCTACAAGTGAAGAAAATTACAAACAAGGGTTCTTATGATGTAAATCAACAAGAAATTTCCATGATGACTTACCAATAAACCATATTCCAGCTGCTAGAAACAATATTGATGTTAGAATCAATGCTGTCGTCCTCCAGTTGTTAATGCTATCCTGCATTATCATTATGGATGAACAACAGTTAGAAACTTGTATATCACAACGCAATACAGTCTGTGACCAGTAAATTTCTTTGCCTGTTCCTCCTTTTGGTAAGTAATGCACACAACACTTACGTAATTTGAATGAGAACAGTGGAACTTCGGGGATAAATATTATGCCATGTTAATTTATGATGGCTATCATTGCAATTGATGTAAACTGTGTTATGCATATGCATTTAGATGTATTAAAATCACCCTAGAGATTCAGCCAACACATCCCAGCCCTATAGGCTTACAATAAAGTAGTTTTTGACCTTTTCAGTTTCCAGTAAATGCATTATTTCATATCATAAGCATTTTGGCTTAAAATGTGTGTGTATATATATATATATATATATATATATATATTATAAGAAGCAAATTTTATGCACCTGGTTTTGCATTATGTACTTATTTGACTTTTTTTTTTCCAAACTCAGGCATCATGGGTGGAGATGTCCTAATTTCCACCTAAACACAAACAACTTAAAAGTAAAGCGTTCAGAAATGCTACAAGTAACCGTTAGCAAAAGAATGACCTCGAGAACTCCAACAAGAGGTGAGGAAGGTACATCTCCAAATATATGAATGGCAACAGTAGACATAGCCATAGATAGAGGCCTCAAACTTGGTTTAACACAACGCAGACATACGAAATTCACAGGACCCTGGAAAGAAATTTGGGAGCAAACATTTAGCACTAAAGTTCCAATATGTTATCGGGTCTCAGCTCAGAAAGTGCATAAATCAGGAATTTTCTAATCTAGGCATGCTTTACAAACTCATTAGTTACTAGTTAGTACCATGCTACCATTAAAAGATTTCTTTCAAATTTCAGGATAAAATTAAGAAAAGTTGACATAAAGAAGAAGGGATATATATACTCCGGATGCTAATAGATAAGAGAAAGGGAAAAAAATTGTACCCTGAAACAAGCATAACATCCAAATGACAAACAACCACAGGATGTCCCGTAGTTTTTCTTGAAGGCAAGTTTGCATACAATTTCACGATGAAAGTAATTTTACTTGGCAACATCAAGACACACACACACATATATATATATATACAAACTCAGTTGCTAAAATGTTCATAGATGATAATTGATAAGCATGTAAAAAGGATACTGTTTCAACATAAAGAGAGATTCCTTGCATAGAAAGAAAGTACCTGAGTGGCAAAAACAAGAAGTTCACCAATAGAGAAAAGAGCAAGGAAGCCATACATGCTTCTGAATAAGAAGGCCCCAAAACAAAATGCTGCACCAATAAATGTAGTCGTTGAGAGAAGCTGCAAAAGAATTTCGTGTGCTTAGTAGGAGAGAACAGGGAGAAATCAAATTATATTTGTGGAAGTTACATTCACTCTTACACTATTCAATAATTTTTAGTTTGATAACTTTATCCTAAAACCTACCGTTAGATTAATGTTCCTTTTATACAGATTACATTTACAAAAATTTTATATCAATCTTACGATTCCTAGCTCATGTACATCAAAATTAACATAATATATACTTTTAAATAAAAATATGAACCATCTAATTATCTTTTTATTGTTATTCAATTTTGAAATGTATTAGACAAGACACAAGCAATTTAGGTGATAACAGTTAATAATTCAATGGTTAGATTGATAAAAATAACTTTGTATATGGAGCAATTCAATCAATTATGGCTAGTTGACTACACTTCAAGTTAATATATTCAATATAATAAGGCCAATCAAGAATATTAGTATTATACAACACTTTTTTCCAACCCTGTCATTTAAAATTGAAGAATCTAAAAACTGCAACCATGATGCTCAAAACTTCTTGTTACACATGCCTCACGTAATAAGCTAGTCAGTTCCCAAGTACCTTAGGTGAAGCAATTTAAACAAAGCATTCTTGACATTGAAATCTTAATATTTCAAGTACATATGCCTGATAAAAAATCCATTTACAAATCGTAGCCTTCATTAAGGTAGCATCTATTTAATGAGGATGCATAATCCAAATGCAGGAAATTTCATTGAAAACAGGTCGGCACAAATGCTCAAACATGAGGCTATTAATCGGGGAGGGTTTATAGATCATCAAATTACCACAAATGGTATGTTAAGTGGGTCCATGTAAATTATCAAAGACCATATGGCATAAGAAATCATGACCCTAAACATAATTTTCCTATCTTAGCTAGGGATGCACTCATAATCTACTACCATAATCTGGTCTAAAGGACTTTTATTATAAGAGGGGCATAAGTCTGCTCAATCTAATCCAGTTTATATCATGTTTAAATGATAATATGTTTGTAAGGAACACTAAAGTGAATAGTTTGCAGGAAAAAAATAATGAATATAAATACCAACCTTAAATGCATTTGAAAAGGTGTTATTCATATAATCCAGAACAAAACCTCCGGCTAAAGTGCCCACTATTCCACATACAATAGTAATTCCTCCAAATATCAAATCTGCATCAGCCTACCAAAGTAATCCAACTTTAATATTACAATAAACATAATATATCTTACATGGAAAGTGTATTTTCTGTCTACAAGGCGTCATTGGATGAAGCAAATTCTCACCATGTGATATATATTATAGCCAGCTTTGGGCCCCCAATATGAGTAAGCACCTAGGACAAAGTTGTAAGCTATGTAACCTGCAGATAGCCATTCAAGTTAGGAAGTTAAATAGACAAAGTAAACAATATGATTGCTAAAAATAAAATACATATAGGATATTAATATATGAAAGTTCACAAGGATGTAAGCTATCCATATAGCAGCCTCTGACTTTAATATCCCAACTAAATATGGTAAATATTACAAAACCAGTCAATGGATAGAGTAGTTAGTGGGAGAAGGAATTACCTAGAACATTGACAACATAAACCTTTTCAAGCAAAAGTGCTTTCGTATCTTTCAAAAATCTTGAAAACTTCTCATATATTTGGGTTGAAGATTTTGATCTAAAAGAAGAATTAATCATACAGAAATTTCAATATTTCAGCCGCTAAATGACAGATGTCAAACAACAAAAGATTCAATAATGGGAAAAAACAATAATTGCAGAAGCTAAGTAGTTCTCAGAATAGGATTAAGTGTTCTCACTTGGAATGATCGTCAGGGCTTCTATCTCTAAGCTCTGGTTCCAAGGACAGTGGCTCATCTTTACCATTTGAAGCTTCCATAACTTTGAATCAAACAGGTGAATTTTATTAAGGCTAAAATAAAAAGACATTGTTAAATGGAAACCATTAACCAGCCGATAAATGGACTCCTAAATTTTCAGTGCATTGCAATATACTAAATATGCTGCGAGTATTAGACCACCAGCTCTACACTCCTATTTGATACAAAACAAAAAAAATATTACTTCCTATTCCATTATGCCTATAAATCTCACATTATTTAAGAACCGAATCCAAAGGAGGGTTATATACATGTTTCTCTCCTAGTCTATCAAAATACCTTTCAAGGACAAAATCTAGTTTCAAAACACTTCGACTCTTATTTCTGTAATTCTTTAGTGCAGAGGTTATGCAGTTACTTATTTTATCAAATAAATAAATAATTTTAATTTGTTAAGGTGATAAAATTGCCTAATTAAAAATGATACCAAAAGTAGTTATAAAAATGTATCCTCTTTATATGATGGTAGGTATAGATAATATTGACCAAATTTCCTATCTAGTCAGGCCTCAGACAGGTTTATATTTTGGGTCTTATCAGGTACTTTGAAAAAGGAGATGCGTTGATAATGCATAATTCTTAGATACCTTGAACTCCTGACACAACTGCTTCCGGTGTCAGTCCCTTTTCTGAACCAGAATAAACAAAACCTGGATCCAGAAGTAGTTTAGAGATGAAAAATAGTAGTAGGGGTTCACAAGAAATCGATGCAAGATAAAAGCGAACCTCTCAACTGCAAAGGCTTCATAAAGAATCCTGAAATGGCAAATGGAAGCATCAACAAAGACTCTACCCAGAATGCATAACGCCACCCAAAATTACTTCCAACCTGTTAAACACAGAAAATATGAAATCAGAGAGGCAAATTTATTTTATTTCTTAAAGAAAAAGAAAGTAAAATACACTTTGGTTGTTTCTGTAGTGCCTATGTTTTCTTTTAATAGAAGACCAATATTTTGTTTCTGCTATAAATGAAAGGAAGGAGAAATTTGCCATTCCAAATTAATTATAATCCGTTTCCTACTTTCAAGAAAATATCTTTTCAAACTTCTTAATCACTCACAGTTTTAAACTCAACTTTTTTTTTTTTCACTTGGTTTTTAAGAAAGATAACTGTGCTGCCATCCTACATTTCTATATTCAAATTAAACTTGCAAAAGGAGATTAAGAACTGAATATTATATTCTGGTAATGAGTACAAGGTAACTGCACAAACATTGGGAGGCTAATCTTAAAAAAAGGAAACTAAATTACAAGGGAATAAATCTGTACAAACAAAAATTGGAATAATGAAACTTGTATATTTCCACTAACCACAGGTGTTACCTTTAGTATTTAATGATGGTAGAAAAAAGCAGATAACGACTTACCAAACCACCGTAGATATAGCCAAGTGCATATCCCGATGGTATACACATGTAGAATATTGCAAGCCATGCTGTTTTCTGATACATACACCCAATATGAGAAAGTGTTCTTCACCAGGGAAAGGAAAAAGCAATCAAATCATATGACAGATGACATTCCAACTATCAAGAAGGATACAGAGGATATCATCCATTTTTCTAGTACTACATCTTTTGAATGATTAGAGCTGATATTCTTATGAATGATTAATAGCACTATGTATCACTAAAGCTTTTAAAGTCTGATTGATTCGTATACAGTATTAACTTTAAGGTTCTCAAAAACATTGGAACAATCTTACTTTCATTCATGTAGTCCTCACCAAGCTTGATTAGGTTCTTAACAATAGTAATATAATTAGAAATATATGGTTTTGCTCTAAAAGGACAGCCACCAAAACCTACTGACAGCTTAATACATTAAAAGAATTGAATCCAAATCCCAACAGAATGAAGCAAACAACAATCTACTACATAGGGTAATTATGTATGATCCCCCAGACCGGTAGATAGCATATATTCACATCAATCATACTTGCAGATTGATCTTCAACCAACCCAAACTCCAGAAAAGCATTGTATTACAGTTTAATAACAAAAGACAACTGATAGCTTGATATTGAGCATAACAGAGTGACAGAGAATAGACATTCTTCAAATCTGAAAGCAGGAGATGCTTCCAGGGAAAGAAACAAACCTGAGTAACAGGGGCATTGTCATCGATAAAAGGTGCTGCAAGACTTGTAAATGAAGCCTCCCCAACACCAACTAGCCTATAAAGAATATTGAAAGCATAAGAGAAAAAATAAGAAACTGTATTACTGTTTAACTACTCAATCAGAATTGCATTACTTGAAAAATAAAGGAATTACACCACTTACATGCGACAGATTGAAATGGACCAAAAATTAAAAGAAAAACCACAACATAGTGTTCCAAGAGTCCAAACTGACAATCCAATAGCTATAAGTCTAAATGGATTTACACTGCAAAATATAATAGTTGTGTTAAGAATAAGATTCAAACTAATAATAGTAAATATAAATTTCAACAACCATGTGGTACACGTACAAGGCATTATTGGTTAGAAATTCTCGATTCGAAATAATTATGTTAATCAAATGTAAGACCTTCACTTTAGTGGACATACGGTTGAATAAATTGATAATCCAACTTTCATGATCATTTGTGCTGCAAACTATTTTAGATTCACGATCTCATTGATTTTAAAATTTGAAAGTCATGGCCAAGATGATGGTCCTAACTACATATTAAATTGCACATTAAGAAAGACAGTTTGAAATTCAATGCAGCGGATCTATGGTGGTTCAAAAGATGGTTCAACTTTCAATTTGTCATTTACAATTTATCTTCTGAAGCATCAATGGGTTGAATATTTAAAATTAATTTAAAGTGCAGCAGTTAGAGTATTCAGGTAATTGCAATACAGCCAGTTTTACCTCTTTGCAAGAGAGGCAAATATTGGAGAAGCCACAAGAAGTCCAACCATAAAAGCGGATGATAAAACCCCATCTTCAAAATTGTTCAAGTTAAAATCCCCTCTGCAAAAAAGAAGAAAAATATGTAGACAAAATATAGCTGAAAATTTACTTCTGCATATTACAGTGTTAATGTCATACCATGCAGCACAGAGAGCAGCTCATACGGGCAACGGCAACAGTTATCTTGAATATGGAAAACTAAATTCTACATCCTGCCAGGTGATCATGCTATTTTGACGAGCATACAAGTCAAACCGTTAACCAAGCAAGAGCCCCAAATTCTTTCTCCTCTTAATACAATAATTTAAGGATGTCTTGCATGAATGCTTTTTTAATCAGAATACTTTAATTTCTTATTAACTTTTTAGCTAAATCACATCTCAAATCCAGGACAGCACCCTCTTACTCACCCATGCAATAATTATTCAAAACCTGTGACAGCGACATTGGCCACGATGTCGTTTAATATAACAAAAAATACGAATCAAGTAAAGAGACACTGTAAATATTGAGTAAGTTGTGGTTCGACAATAATTGAGATATTTATAACAGTAATTGAGCTTTTCTTTTATGTGAGATCTGTCTTTTAGTATATATGGTAAATTCTGGTCTTCGTTTTCAATCAGCTTGTGACCTTTGGAGTTTCATGTATCGGGAATAATTTGAGAGAGGAGATCTAATCACTCCTTACTCTAAGAGTCACTGTAAGCATTTAGGGTTCATCATCATTTTTTTTTTAATCTAATGATTAAAATAGACTTTGGTAAATAAATAATGAGGATGAAAAATAAGTCTTAACTCTTGTGTAAGAAATCTCTTCTCATAATTTTGATGGTTCCTTTTTATGATTCATTGTATTTTCCGACTTTAAATACCAATAAAAAAGGTGACACAAGGAATGCTTTTCCATCTGCCAAACCTCCTCCTTCACAACCCCTTTTTTGGTTTCGCTTCTCCCGCCCCTTTTCAACTGTAATTTCTACTCTACTCTATGAGAATCTCTAGCTTCTCCGTAAAAATTGGAATAACCCAAGAATTTAAAATCAGTGTATGAAAAGTTAAACGCCAAGCAGTGAGGGAAATATCTTGAGAATATCATACTGTATTCCAGAACCAGAAGTGCAGGTACCCCCCTTAGTGCACGTTCCCCTACTTCCATTGACACCATTGCTTGCTATGGCTCCTCGATCCACATAGTTTAACAAGTTAATCACACAAAATATACCAAGTAGCCTACAAAACAAGGTAAAAGAGATAAAGTAAACACAGTAGAAAACAGAGTCAAAGAACACAATAGACTTCATAAGAACGAAGATTTGCTCCCCACCACCATCAAAGAAAAGAAGAAAAATAAAAAAGGCCCAGAATTGCTTAAAACTTTTCTTCCCACACCCACATAATCAAAACTCAAAAGGACTGAACCTTTCTCACCTTTACTTACCCAGCACGGATCTTGGAGGGGCAAAGGAAACAGAAAAAGGAGCATTACATTTACCTTTTGGGTGTAAACCATGAAGTTGTGGGAATCGTGGAGGAGATTCGTGGCTCCATAGGCTGAGGGGAAGGCTTTGGTTTGACTTGAGAGTGCTCGTCTTGAGCCATACCAATATTGTAGCACTTTGACACTCGACAGTTGTACTAAAATTTAATATCTTTGAATGGTAGTTATAACTTGTCTGAATTTCAAAGGTCTTTCTCCTTCCCTCATCTTAAGCTATGTCAGCTTTTCTTAACAGCAAAACAAAACAACACTTTCCCTTATGTAATTTCAAATAAGTTATTTGGTGAAAATATTTGACTTTTCAGATGAAAAACGTAAATCATAATATTATTTTAAGAATACTAAACGTCTAATTTAAGTCTTATAATAAATCTCTCCTTTAAACTTAACTACTCATCTCATCTCTTATTCCAAGAAGCTTTTTACAACTCTCCAGCAATGTAGGCAGTGGATTGGTGAATATGTCAGCAGCTTGAATTCGGCTTTCAACATGTTCTAGTTCAACCTTTCCTTCTCTGATTTGTTCTCGGATGAAATAAAATCGAACGTCGATATGCTTGCTCCTTCCACGATTAACCGGGTTCTTTGCCAACTCCGCTGACTTGTTGTCAACTCGAATTATAGTCCTTTCGTCTTGAATCACTCCCAGATGCCTTAGTAAATTTGAAAGCCAAACTGCATGACACACACTCCAAGAGGCTGCCACATACTCAACCTCACAGATTGACAGAGTTACAATGAGTTGCTTCTTTGACAGCCAAGTAAAAGTTATTTTTCTGAGTAGGAACACATAACCTGAAATACTTTTCCGGTCATCAACATCACCACACCAATCACTATCCGAGTAACCCACTAGTCGGTAGTCATCTGATTTTGAATAGAATAGACCAAGTGATAAGGTTCCTCGAACATATCTCAGAATTCTCTTTAAGACCTTCTAATATGTGTAACTTTGATTCTCCATGTATCTGCTCGTTATCCCAACACTCAACATTAGGTCGGGTCTTGTGCTTGTAAGGTATATCAGACTTCCGATTAAGTTTTGATATCTCCCAGAATCAGCTCGTTCTCCTCCATCAAACTTTGAGAGTTTAGTGCCCGATTCCATTGGAGTAGAAACCGGGTTATAGTCCACCATTTTAAATTTCTTTAAAATTTCAAGTGCGTACCTCTCTTGAGATATAAAAATTCCTTCCTCTGACTGTTTCACTTCTAGGCCAAGAAAATATTTTATCAACCCTAAGTCTGTCATTTCGAACTCTTTCTTCATTACCTCCTTGAACTCCTTAATTAGCTTCATGTTGCTTACAGTGAATATGAGATCGTCGACATAAAGAGCGACTACCATCATATCTTTTTCTGATTTCTTTGTATACAAAGCATGCTCATATGGACATTGTTCATACCCATTTTTCTTGAAATATCCATCAATTCTCTCATTCCAGGCACGAGGAGCCTGCTTCAGCCCATAGAGAGCTTTTCTTAATCTCAGTACCTTTTTCTCATCTCCTCTCTTCATGTACCCGAGTGGTTGCTCAACATACACCTCTTCCTTCGGCACTCCATTTAGAAATGCTAACTTCACATCCATCTGTAGAATCAGCCATTGATTCTGAGCAGCTAATGAGATTAGAAGTCAGATTGACTCCATTCTCGTGACAGGAGCAAATACTTCATCATAGTCAATTCCCTCCTTTTGTCTATAGTCCTTCACCACAAGTCGAGCCTTGTAACGTTCAACCTCTCCCTCAACATTCATCTTCTTTTTGTACATCCATTTTACTTCAATGGGTTGAGCTCCTTTAGGAAGGTTAGTCAGTTCCCAAGTTTTGATGCGTTCAATCGCTCCAATCTCCTCATCCATAGTTGTTTTCCACTTCTCATCTTGGACAACTTTATCAAAACTCAAGTCTTCAGAGTCAGCCAAAAGACATACAACATAAACTTCATTTATAGTGTCGTATATTTCCTGCAGACTTCTCATCTTGGGATGTTGTGGCTCTATTTCTTTATCTGAGGACTCAATGGTTGTTATTGTTGAAGACACAATAATTTCTGAACTAGTTTCTTCTTCTGCCGGGTTACTCCAGCACTAATATTTTGTTTCTTCCACATGAACATCTCGGCTTACCACCACTTTATTATTAACAGGATCAAACAATTTATACGCTTTATATTTTCTATCATACCCGATAAATATGTACTTCTTACTCCAATCTTCTTAGTCTTGTGTTGACTTGGTACTTGCCCATAGGCTACACTACCAAACACCTTCAGATGAGAGACACTCAACTTCATACCACTCCATATCTCCTGAGGCGTCTTCTCTCCTAGCCTTGCATGTGGACATCTATTTTGCAAATAGACTACGCATTGCACCGCCTCTGCCCAAAACTTCTTTGGCATATTCTTCCCTTTCAACATAGATTGAACCATATCAAGAATGGTTTGGTTCTTTCGTTCCGCTACACCGTTTTGCTGCGGAGAATATGGGGCAGTCAGGAAACATTTGATCCCATGTTCCTCACAGTATTTGTTGAACTCAATAGAAGTGAACTCGCTTCCTCTGTCAGATCAGCAGATTAGATTGCTTTGATGACTTTGCTTGTTTCTTTCTCCACCATAACTTTGAATTTCTTGAAAGTTTCAAACACTTCTGACTTCTCCTTCAGAAAATAAATCCATGTTTTCCTTGAAAAATCATCAATGAAAGAGATGCAGTATTTCTTACCACTAAGAGATTATGGAGTTATTGGCCCACACAAATCAGTATGGATCACTCTGAGTTGCTACTTTGCTCGACACTCATAACTTCTTGGGAAAGAAGTCATCGATTGCTTCTCAATCACACATTCTTCACAGAACATTTTTTTGAATTCCATTTTAGGCAATCCGAGCACCATCTCCTTTTTCACCAGCGCAGTCAACCCACCAAAGTGAAGATGACCAAATCGCAAATGTCACTTCATGGCCTCATCCTCCATATCAAATTGCATACATTTATCTTGAACTGTTTTCAGTTCAAGTTTGTACATGCGATTTTTCTTCATTCCCACCAAAACAACAAGCATCCCTAATTTATCCTTCAGTTGTAGTTCTCGGTCCTTCATCAGAACCGAGTACCTCTTCTCCATTAACTGTCTCATGCTCAATATGTTACTTTTGATATCAGGTACATAGTATACATCTCTAATCTCTCAGATTTGCCCATTTCTCTGTTGATACCAGATCGTTCCTTAACCTTTGACAACTACTTTCGAAGTATCACCGAAAGAAACAGATTCGGACTCCACCTTTGAAAGTATTTTGAATAAGCGCTCGTCACCACACATGTGGTTATTAGCGCCGGTGTCTAAGTACCAAACCGAGTTATTAGAATAGTTCGGTTTGATCTCAATTTTTGAAGTGTTTATCACCATCAACAATCCTTCATCTTCTTCCTCGACAAGAAAGTTTGTTGGTTCCTCCTTTTTCTTCTCAGACCTACAATCTTTGGTATGACCCAGTTTTCCACAATTATAACATTTTACGGAGTAACAGTCCTTGGCAACATGTCCATTCTTTCCACAATTATAGCATTTTACCGAGTAACAATCATTGGCAATATGCTCATTCTTCCCACAATTATAACATTCAATATTGTTTGTGTTTGTTCGGTCACCCCGAGCCTATCCTTGGCCACGCCAGTTCTGTTGACCGTCTTGCTCATTTCCTCGTCCTCATTTTCCTCTACCACCATGACCTCTACCTTTTCCTCGGCCTCTAGTACTCTGAGCATAGAGCATCTTCTCCTCTTTTATTTTCGCCTTTGCTTGGAGAGTCTGTTCAAGGGACTCCCCCTTCTTGTTTTTCCTTCTCTGCTCATGTGCTTCTAGGGACCCAACAAGCTCTTTAAGGGTGAGCGTTGACAGATCCTTGGACTCCTTTATTGCGCACACGATGTTCTCGAAATCATTTGTCAATGATCTCAAAATTTTTTCAACAACTCGGTTTGATGAAAGACTCTCACCATTCTGATTCAGCTTGTTCACCACGGTCTCCACCCGAGTAATGAACTCGGATACGCTTTCAGGCTCTTTCATCCTCATGTTTTCAAGCTCGTCCCTAAGGGTTTGAAGTCGAACTTGTTTCACCCTTTCATCTTCTTTGTTTGTTTTTTTCAAGTATATCTCATGCTACTTTGGAAAATTTTGCGTTAGTTATCTTCTTAAAGTCAGATTCGTCGACGACTCGATATAGTAGATACAGAGTCGTCTTGTCTTTAGCTCGAACGACCTTCAATGCATTCAGCTAAGCATTTGAATACCCATCTGTGTTCGCCGGTTCCTCATACCCATTCTCGACCACATCCCAATTATCTTGGGAGCCGAGAAGAGCCTTCATTTTTACCTTCCAATTGTCATAGTTAGTGCCTTTCGTCAACTTGGGTAGCGGGATGTCATTGGTTAGACCTGCCATTTCCTCTAAAGTGTTTGTACTCAACTCACACACCTCACAAAGTTCTGAGTCGCTCCTCTCTCTTTCTCAGGCAGCACACACTGCGACATTCTCTCTTGAGGCTTGGTGGACTCTCTCACACTCACCTCTTACACAAGCTCTGATGTCAATTTATTGATATCAGGAAAACAAAACAACGCTCTCAATTATTTTTCTCCTGATGCAATTTCAAATAAATTGTTACAATTATTTATGGTCAAAATATTTGTTTCTTCAAATGTCAAACATAAATCATAATATCTATTAAATAGGTTTACAACCCGTTATACCATTCGTAATTAAAACTATTAATATTATTTTAAGAATACTAAAAGTGTAATTTAAGATTTACCATATTTTGTACCAAACAAATAGTGGTGGATTCTTATTCTTCCTTTCTTCTAGTTTTTCCGTTATATTGGAATTTGCATTTTCCAGTGGACAAAGCGGTAAGCACACAAAAATACGGGATCTTTGCCTCCTCTAAACCTTTTCTTCTTTTGTCATTCTTCGGAGATAATTGTGCTACTGTATGGATTACTCATGTCACTTTGTTGTAATTTCGATACATTGTCACATCCACTACCTTCTTTTACCTTTATTTTACATCTAGTGTTTATTTTAACTGCGGTTTTCAAATGAACATGCAAAAATTATTTAACAATGAGAGAAAACAATAAGATTAAATTATATATTTTCTACTCCAAACTTAAAATATAGGCAAAGATCCTTTAGAGAAGACAACTGACAGAGTCAAATTCCCCAAATTGATTAATGTGGATTCCTTCAAAATGTTTTCAATAAAATTTGTTATGCAAGAAATTATAAAATTCCCGAAAAAATGAATTATGTGAAATTGATTATCTTTTTTTTTTTTAATTTTAGTGTATAACATAAATTATTATTTATCATCGATGAATTGTATATTGATTAATTATTACTTGTATATTTTGATTGAAATATATGAAAGTCTAATGACTTCCTATATTTAGAGGTATCAAATTTTTTTACTCCAATTCAATATAAATTTTTTAAAATTTATTTCGAATAAACACCATCCATGCACGGGTCAAGCACTAGAGAGTGTGTGTGTGTGTGTGTGTAATTTCTATATATTAAGGAGAATCAAGTTATAATTAATGCTATAATTTATTATTTTAAATAATATATTACAGTAAAAAAATCAATATGTATACCTTCTGAATAGAATGAGACCAATTTTATGCTACTCTATTCGTCTCCCATCAGTAAAGGATACTTGTGAATTCTATAAATGGGAAATAAGTACTATATTTCCTAATGCTGTAAACTGGGTTGAATTTTGCTCCCAACAAAAATAAAGAAACATGTTAAAAAGGTCGGAAAACACCTAATCGTGATTGGGAAAATGAAGAGCAATTGGAACGCATGCCTCTCTTCAAGTTTGTCTGGCATTTTTTAATGAGGTGTAAATTTTTTAATTGATTGTTTGCATGAACAATGTCTTCAGTTTTTGTTCATTCAACAATTATGTTTATGTGGATTCTAATAAATACTTTTTAAGACATTGAAAGCATACATGTTGTACCTTGCCTAAGAATATGAATAAACAACCAATCTCGACGGTCTTTCCGAGAGTTTAGCAACTATCCCAATGGTTTCTTACAGCACGAATACTCATCCATCCAATGAAAGATAATACTCAATAGCTTACTAACAAAAGTCGGCTCGTTAATATAAAAGTAGTAATCTCAAGGGAAGGTGGTAACAATTCCAAAATATCAAAATGAACATCATTATTTGCATATTTTATAATAGCCTAAAAATCTTTCCAACAGATCAAATATGTACCCAAGCACAAATGGGCATGCATGTTAGAATCTAGCACCAAGAGAGGAGAGGAACGCAGAAATAAAGGTACAAATAATCAAATCACACTTTAATTTAGTTACATTGTTACTTAGTCATCATTTTTATGAGCTTCATTCGTAATATAAGCACATTACATCATTTTTACACTGTTGTTAAGTCCTTAAGCTGTCATGTCCAAACAGCAGACTTAATTTTACCGAGAATTGGCTGGTACAAACTTCAGTGAAATGCTATTGACACAATGGCGTTCGTCAGTGGGTGTTGGAAATCCTTCACCTTTAAAAACGTGACCTAGATGTCCCCCACAAGCAGAACATGTTATTTCTGTCCTCATCCCATCAGGGTCCGGCTGTAGATACGCACATTGTTATCAATTTGTATACAATTGTTTATACAATTTGAGATATGACAAAAACACAACCAGTGCCTTCAAATATTTGTTAAGGATTTCAATATAAAAGTTTTAAATGAATATTAAAGCAAACTCAAATTTTGATTTGAGAACGCAATGAAAATTCTTGAGATATTATATCTAAGTTGTGTCTTGGTATCAAATCCTACTTTTCATTTTCTTCATTTCTTAACAAGTGTTTTCAACTAAGATAACTTACATTGCGATTTATGGCTCCAGGAAGACCCTCATAGAAGGCTGGCCAGCCACAACCAGAATTAAATTTTGTTATGGACCTGTAGAGAGGAGTCCCACAACCAGCACAGTTGTAAACCCCCTCACCAAAGAACTTGTCATACTCTCCAGTTCCAGGGAACCTGCATAATATCAAAACGTTTAATTACAACAGAAACACAAATTCTCATCTTGAATGAAAGTAGTTACCATCATCAAACCAATTCTATTGCCATGGACTTTGTTGCTAAGAAAATCAAGAACCATAAAAAATTCTGACCAGACTCAAAATTACTCAGACTTGTCTACTCCATGCACCCTTCTTTCTGCTCAGTTTTTATCTCAGCATCTCTAAGCATTCATTCAAAGTTTCCAGAATCAAATATAGGAAATTAGTCAGAGAACATCTTGTGAGGGTGTTATCACAGCACAGGACCATAGGAATATAGAAAACAGACAGCTTGTCTCTACTGCAAGCACACATACTAAAGAACACACCTAAGATGAGACTACATTGTAGGCTTGTAGCCTTTGACCTGCCTGTAATACTATTAGTTAAGGTTGTTAGTGATAGTTAAAAGTCAGTTACTGTTAAAAGACCAAGCATTGTATCATGGAAGCAGTTAATGCATCAATCTCTCGGCTCAACTCTTGCAAGATTTACTCAAATTATCTAGAAAAACCCATGACAAATCCCTCTAACTATTGTGATCATAAAAACTAATTAGAAAAATCACAAACATGATTTTCAACAACTGTCCCCAACCACAACACAAACCATATCTGTCCACAATTTTCCATAATAATAAACATCTCGACCGCAGCTTAAAATCTTGACCACATTTATTAAGGATTAACCTTTAGCACGTGCAATCCAGCAGTAAGTGAATTTTGCGAAGTCAAACCTAATTTGGAATAATTTGCATTAACTTTTATATGAGCACTTGATAGAGAAAAAATAAATAAGAACGTAAAATGCATTTAACTTTACTATAAAGCCAAAATCAACTTAAACACTTCAATTTTCGGTGGAATTGAAAGAAAACATCTCACAAGTTAAGAAAAGTTGATTTTATCTAATGAGAAAAACTCATTTATTTTACGTTTTTTTTTTTTTTTTTATCTTATCCGTGTATAGAGAGAAGTTTATCCAAACAGCTTTCAAGAATAATAATAATAATAATAAATTAAAAAAAAATAACAGTATTCTCATGACTTCATTCTATTCTTAGAGGAGAATTCAGTAAAAGAAAGTAAAAAATCCCAGAGACTTGACAGATCCATCAGTTGTTCGACCCAATGGTTTTGGAAGCTTAATTGACAAAAAGAGAAGAAAGATAGCTCTTACTCAGTGCCCTTTTGTCTGAGAATCCGAAACTGATCAGGGGAGAGAATTGCGCGCCACTCTTCCTCAGATTTCTGGAGCGAGCCAGGTGCGGACATGAGGACAATCCCACCTCGAAAACGACGCTTGGGTTGGAGAGAGGGTGAGGCCGAAATGGATAGGGTGGGGGGAGCAACGGGGTTTGAGGGGAAGAAAGATGTGGAAGGAGAAGAAAGGAGAAGAGTTGAGAAAATGGGTTTGGAACAGAGTGGAGTGGAAGTGGATCTCAGAATGTTGAAGCCCATGACTCTGCTATTGTTTTCATTTGTCACCTTCACCTTTTATGTTATCTCTAGCTCTTGATTTTTTTTTTTATGTACTTCCCTTCTTTATTTTTATTTATATATTTTCACTGCATCAATGAATAATACTTTATTTTCACCAATCACAATTTTTATAAATATATATTTTAGTTAATTATTTTTTTTATGATTTAATTTTTATTAATATAATTTTTATTGCATTTCTTAATTTTATAAATTATAATATGATAATTTTAAACATTAAAATTGGTGTTATTAATTATGATTTTCATATTAGATAATTTGATGCACTAACTCAAAAGTTTTAAACTAATTTTACGGTTATAAGAACATATCAACTAACTTCTCTCACACTATAACATTGTAAGGTTAAAACAAATAAGAAGTGAATTTTTATGGAAAGATTAAATAAAATTAGCTTCAATTTAGATAATTTTTTCCATAATTTGATTATTTATTCCTTAATATTTAGTCTAAGGTGGAGACCATTTTTAGGCAACATATTTATAGATTATCCTAAATCAATAGAAGAATTTAGAACTTGTTCTACCATATTCATGTAATTAGAATAAGACATTTATATCATAAAGAAAAGAGAATTACTCAAGAAATAATACTCATAAGTACAATAGAGATAAAAAAAATATAAACAAGAAGACAAAAAAGAGGAGAGAAATTTTATTCATTTTAATGCTAAAATAGTAATGTGAACCCTCTAACTTGGAACTTATCAAACTACCTGAGTCATTTGTCACATCTTTAGATATAGATCAATCAAAGCAATGCACGTGACATTAAGATTATGAACATACTATAGAAAATTGCATAAGAGTTGGAGAAATTTTGGAAGTCCCTTATTTGAGTACTAGTCTTAGATCGGTTCATTCAATATTACAAACATGACCGGGGTTATAATTCAAATAATTATAGAGATTATTGCAGTTAAGAACATAGACATTTTTTAGGATAAGGACGCATATGTGATCATCCTAGAACAAACGAATAATCAATAATCGACCATCCACAAAACGTTCCAAATGATGAGGGGACAATTTAAGGAGTTATTAATATCATTGCAAGGGGTTTCATTGGAGGAGAAAGTATAAATTTGGCTCGAAAATGACATTTAAGGGTTGAAAACAATGTCAACATTTCTCTGTCATTAGAATTCAAAAACCTTACCTCTCATCATTTTCACACATGAAGATTTTAGTTCAAATGATCCAGTGTAAGATGATCTCATGGTGATCACTATTTATATAGTTAATTGGACAGTAAAGAAAACATTGTTATGTTGGACCACTTTTTTAAAAATGAATATTTCGTATTATTTTATTTAGTCATATCCTAATCCATTTGTCAAATTTCCAGTGAAACAAGTTCATACGTATTGAATAATATTGAAGAAGTAGATGTTAATACTCGGTACAAAGTAAAAGATGATTGTCCAAGATTTGACGAGTCAATTTCTGAATTCAAACTCGAATAATAGTCCGAGTAAACAACTCGGATTGAAGTGACAATAAAGATCAATTTACGGAATCAAATAAAAGAAATATTACATCAAAATATTGACCTTTATGCTTGGACCGTCATAGATATGATAGATATTAATCCAAATTTTATGTGTCTTAGACTTGTTATATTACTTTATATAAAACCAATAGTTTAAAGATAAAAAGAATATGTTTTTAACTTTTATTATAAGATTAAATAGATCTATTATCTTATAATTTATATATTAAATTATTATATTTTAAATAAAATTTAATTTTATTAATATAATTTAAATTTTAAAAATATATTATTTTATTTCATTTTATTTTTATTTAAATATTTTTTAATTAATCATTTTGGTGTAAACAAATTAGTACTTTTTTTTCAATCAGACAAAATATGACCCGTTAAACTAAAAATTATATTTCATTTTAAAATATAAATCAAGTTAGATTGGAATACTTGACATCATTACTTAAAACCTTTCACTAATGTATGACAAATATTACATGAAGAAGATGAGAAAACTAATTATGTGAACCCAATTGATAGATAATGGGACATCTCAATCATTTTAAAAGTGATTATTTCATTGTGGATGTCGTATCTGAATTGTTTAAAAGTGGATAAGATTAACTTAAAATTGAGAAAAAAATTGTTTGTATAAATCAAATTTTAAACAATCTGTGAGACTTATAATAAAATATTCAATTTATTCTTAAATAATTCTGGTTAAAAACTCCCGCTATTTTTTAATTTTGAACTTTAAATCTTATTTACTTACTTAAATTATTATTCTAATAAAAATATTTCCTCCAAATAATTATATTAAATATTCGTTATAATAATAATACATACAAAATATTGTCATTCAATATCATATTAAATATATAATAATCAGATATCATTTATTATTTAAATAAAAAAAATTTATAGATTATGTCAGATAAAAAATATACATTTCTAAAAAATTTATACACTGACTTAAATATTAAATTGTACACATTTTTTTCTCCTATTCAACGTAGTTCAAATCAGTATCAAATCATTTGTGATTAAACGCAATTATCATGAAATATTTATATTATTTTCTTATAATTTCTTTTATGGTAATAGCCAGGATCGCATTCGAAATATTTCTTTCAACAATTCAGATTTGATTTTGTGATTTCTTAATTTCAAAACTGACCAGACTCTACGAACCCGTGCGTGACAAAATGTTGATTCCTGCCAAATTCAGAAAATACATAAGAATTTCTTTCAATTCATTTACTTCATCGAAAACAGTATTGGCAACACACAAATGAATATATTTAATCTACCTTCAAGCTGTTCCTTAGGGAGCACAGATGATCAGCAGGAAAAGCTGGCCAGAGCTTAATGGATTTGGCAGTAATTAGCCAAACAAGGAGCTGTCAATAAAAATCTTCTCTCTGACTTTTAAAGCAAGAAGCAATGCATCAAGAGTTCCTAATTCTGTTGCATCTTCAAACCACTTATGTAGCCCAGGAGTTTCAAGAACATGATCCACCACTGCTTCAACAGGCAACTACAGTAATAAAATAAGTAATAAGCTTGAAATGATAATAAGACCTAAGAGATTAAAAACATAGCTTGTAGCAGAGTAAAGTGAGTCTCACAATAAAACATGATCTACTCGTAGCATAGAAACTTCTAACAATGTAAGTGGTTGTTTGCAGTGCCTACGAGGACCTATGCAATTGTATATATACATATACATACAGGGATACCCACGGGTAGAAACGTGTGCAAATCATCAAATAGCACTAAAAAGAGTATAATTATAGGCTGAGACCCAGCAGAAATTGCAGAATATTGTAAAAAACAAAAATACAATAATCTGACATACGAGCAATTTAGTCCAAGAAATCATCAAAATATCCCATACGTTAAAAAGGCTAATTTCACGTTATTACAACTACATTTAACAGGATATAATTAATGATATACAAAGTAGTTCAAGTACAGTGATAAATTCTCTTATATGTAGAATGTTTTTATCTATATTAGTTTCAAGTGTGTCTGATCAAGCCAGAGCATCATAAGAGTGACGGTTGTGTGTAAGGGTCATAACATAACCTCAAACTTATTCGATTAGGTATATCTATAATTTTAAATCATCAAAATGTTATTATTATTAAATATATTTATTTGTATATTTTTATTTTTATTTATTTAATTTTTTTATAAATGTTAATATAATTCATTAAATATATATTAAATAAAAAGTATTTTATATTCTTTTATTTTTTTAGATTTTATTAATTACATGATATTTGATCGATCCATAAGTCCCAACCGACCATGTTTTGCTTCCCACCCTCTCATAATAAATGTGCAAATATAACACTTATCACATAGATGAGTAAATTGATTACAAATTTAAGAATTGATTCAACATTAATTATGAACCTTGTAAGCTAAGCAGTTAAACCTAAAATAAAGCCTTGACGGCCACATTGCACCACAAAATCAAAATCATGGGTATTTTGTTGTGATGGTTCTAAATATAATTATTTGATAATATTAAAAAACTAAATATATTTTAATTATAAGAAATTTACTTCCAAAATACAATAAAATTGAGGGGAACTGTAACAAATTTGTTAAAGTTTTTACACTTTTTTTAATTTATAAAAAATACTCATACAATTTTATTTTATATTTTTATTTACGTATCAGTATATTATAATTTAAAACATGGATGAAGCGTTTTTTTAAACAGAAAGATATTTTTTTTAAATAATTAATAGAATTTAGTGAATATATTTTTCTGTTAGGTATTTTTTTTAAATAAATAATAGCTCAGTGTATACAACGTGTATTTCCAGACTCTTCATGTTAAGTTTATAAATGTAAGTGCATATAATTCAGTAAATAAAGTGTTTTTTTTTCTAGCTTCGACCCCTATTTGGTGTACATATTTTGTGTAGATTAATTTATATTACTTTTTTCCGTTTTTTCTATTAGATTAAAGTTAAACTTAAATATATTTTATTTTAAAATAAATAAAAGCGCTTGTAGATCAATGGAGTGTAGGTTTAACTCCTATAATGTCTAATGTTTTTTTTTTTCATAATATCTAAGTCTAATGTTAATTTATGCGTATACAGATAATCTTAATTTATGCGTATTTTAGAATATTTAATGTCTAATTTTTTTTTTTGGTTTCAAAAGATATAATGAGTAGCGTTTTTTTTTTAAATTATTTCAGAATATTTAATGGTTCAATCCTTATCTGGTTAGTGTATATAATTTTAATTTATATTAGAGTAAATAATTTTAATATTTAATGTCTAATTTTTTTTCTATTATTTCAAAATATCTAATAATTAATGGTTTTTTAGCTTTACCTAGTACATATATATAATTTTAATTTACATTAGAGTAAATAATTTTAATATTTAAGAAGATAGAATATCTAATTTTTTTTTATTATTTTAGAAGATCTACTGACTAATTAT